AGCTCTTTTATCTATGTGGTAAGGGTCTCACTAATGTTCTCTATTCTTTTCTCAGGCCAAATGAGTATCCTCATGATTGTTGCTTTAAATTCTCCATCTGTTTTACTTAGATCCCTGGACATAATCTTGTTCTTTCATTTGGGATGAATCGCTCCATCTTTGCATTTTGTCTAAGTCTCTGCTTTCTTCTCTGTGTTAGAAAATCCTGTTATGTCTCCTGCTTCTGAAAGTAGTGACACTATGAAGAAGAGGTCATGTAATGCCCAGAGCCTACTGCTTCAGGGAGTGTCTCCGTTATGTGCTGCATGCATTCTGCTACTGTGGTTTTGCTGCTCTATCCTTTAGTCTAATCATCTGCAGTGGCTTTCTTTGCTTGCTGTGGGCAGTGTTTGGTTCCTGGCCTGAATGCAGTGAGTTGTAACTAAGTGTGCTCTGGTCGGCTTGTGAAATGAGACATGACATCACTTGAACCAGAACTGAGGCCCTGCTAAACTCTCTGGTAAAGAGACATGATGGGGAATGGTTTGTGCTTATCTTCTGGGTAAGGGACCTGTTGCACTGGGACTGAGCCAAGGTGACTGAAAAGGACAGCCCCACCAGAGTGCTGGGGGTTGGGTTTTGGTGTAAGCAAATTGAGTAGCCAGTGTAGGAGCTGAACTGTTCCCAGTAGGTGGTTCTGTATATTAAGGGGCAGGGGAGGGAAATGGAACTGGTCAGCTCCTTTGTTCCAGGAGAGGTGTCTCCATGAATGTTGCTTCTCAGGGATGTGCTCTAAGAAGAGTGAATAATATCCCTTCTGTGTATCCCAGTTCTTCAGATCTTTGTTTCAATGCTGTCTGTCCCCAGGTCGTTTGCCTGTCTTCTCTCCAGGAGTAGCATAATGCCATCAGGGCTCTATTCCAGGCAAACCCTCTGACCTTTAAAACTCCAGGTTTTAAGCCCCACTGGTTGCAAGAACCCACAAAATTCAGCCCCTCTTGTTTTCCAACTCAATGGCTTCTGGGAAATGTTCTCTTTGTGTTTTCCTCAGTGTGCCCTTCTCCTTGACCATGGTTCCCTTCCCTCAGCAGTGGCTGCAATCCCTTCCTCCCCTAGACCTTCTTTGATGTGGCCTTTTCTCTTCTTTTACTTGTGGAGTTTGTTCTTTCAGTCTTCAGGTCAATTTCTGGGGAATTTAGGTTGATTTGATAGTTATCTAGCTGTGTTTGTGGAACGAGACATGCCTAGGGTCCTCCCAGTCTTCTGCTTCTTCCTCTGCTAAGAAGCACTTTCCTATTTTTTTTAATTATTTTTTTTATTTGAGTGTAGTTGATACACAATGTTTCATTAGTTTCATGTGTACAACATAGTGCTTTGACAAGTTTATACATTAGGTTTTACTCTATTTTCCCAACACTGTAGCAAATGTTATTATCTGTCACTGTTCTAATAGGCAATCACTATTACAAAAAAAAATTCACACAAATAAAACAGTTTGTGAATTTCCAACCTTATAAAGACAAGAAAATAAGTCTTTATAATTTTATAAACCTGACTACTGCTTTATAAAATACCATTTTAATGAAAGCCAATATATGAAATTTTAAGTTTCACATTTTTTCAATGTTAGTGATTTGGATTACAAAATTATTTCACCACAAAGATTTAAAAAATAGCAACTTTTCATTCTGCATTCATAATAATATTCAATTCACCAATATTCTCTTTATATATGTCTTTACTTGTGAGAATGAGGTCTAACTGAAAAACTACATGTGTGATACTTTTTTTTTTTTAAGGCTTAAAATGTATTTTAATAAGTTAATGCTGTATTACTGCTCCATTTCTCAGAAAAGCTCCAAAGATATCAGGGACAAATCAAACATGGTACACCAATAAAAAAAAAATGCACAGCATAACTACCTAAGATAGGCAAGGCTAAGAGCTACCGTCCAACCTTCAGCATACAGCAACCCTGTTCCCAAGATTGTACTAGGCCTATCAAGAAAAGCTGTGAACAGCAACATCATAGACACAAAAGGGCCATTCCTGGGTTGTCCTAACCCAAGAAAAAAATATGGAGGCAACTTAACACAAGATTTTTTTTTAAAGATACACTAAAATGAAAATCTCTAAGAGAAAATGTCTTCCTTGGGACATGAAGGGCTAATATATGGGATATAACAGAACCTTATGTATGTTGTCTGTGACCTCTGTGGACATTTGCCTGAATTCCCATCTGCGAGTGAATGGAACAATGGGACTAAGGTCATTGGGGGATGCTTATTTTTGTGGTGTATGTGGCAGTGTCTCTGGGGTTTGGAGGGTATAATAAGGAACCAAATAGAACAGGATGGACAAAGAATGGAATGATCAAGATTAATGGGGGCTCTAACTGGATCCATTTTGCCATGGTTTCCAGCCCCCTTCACAGGCCCTCAGCAATCACATGAGACTTCAGGAATGCACCACACAAAATCAATTTGTTAAATGATATACCACAAAGAACTGATTTGTTAAATATCACCCCTCTCTTGCCCTCAGCCTCCAGCAAACTCCCTCAGAGTAGTACAGGCAAGGAAGACCTAACTATTGGGAGGAATCCCTAGCACTTTTCCAGGGCAGAATTCTGGCTAGTCCAAAAAGGGTCCTTATTTTAAGGTTTTTTGGGAAACTAGACATTGAAATTTTTATTAGTATCAGCTACATTTGTTTGGAGCAAATTCAGCTCCAGGAGCTGCATGGTTGAATGCAGGAGGGGTTCCACCAATTGCCCCAATTCCTTCCATTGTAGCAGCTTGGCCAAAGCATTCAGTTGTTGGTGGGGTCAATCCCAAGGTTCCATCTGGCATCAGAGTGGCAGTTCCTGGAGGAGCTGGGGTACCTGTTGGCACTGGAGCAGGGGGCATGGCGTCTCTGTTGTTTATGCCCATAGCACCTCCCATAGCCATCTGGCCCATCCACATCTCCTGTTCTCTTGCATCAGGGCATGTTCCCTTGAATCCTTCCTGCTGTCACTGCATCATTTCTTCCTGTTGCCACCGCATCTCTTCCTCACGGCGCCTGCGTTCCTCCTCCTGGTTGAGCTCCAGTTGTTTTCGTTTTTGCACTTCTTGGTTGTGCAGCTCTTCTATCCTCCAAAGTTTTTCTTGACGACTCATCAAATCCTGTCTCATTAGCATGACCTGGTGCTCATGGCGAGCAGCCTCCATCTCCATCTCCAGCTTCTCACAAGCTTCCTTGATGCTGTGGTCCACTTGGTCCTGCTGCTGCTTCTCCATCTCAATGAATGCCTTCCAGTGCATGGCATACTCATACTCAAAGGAGCCAGGCTTTGCAAATCTGGGTGGCTGCTCTCCCTCCTAGTGAAATTGCTGGTTCTTTTTAACCAGCTTCTCTGGAAGTCCCTCTTCATCATCCAACTGGTCCATGGGCTCCACAGTCACAGGCCGAGGAAATGTGGTTAGCAGGAAGGAGCCTTCACTGCACCTGTCCAGAGCTTTCCGAGCAGCTGGCTTCCCTGAAAATTCAACAATGCCTTTTCCTGAGGGCCTTCCTCGATCATCCACGATGACTACAGCCCTTTCCACCTGGCCAAACACCGGAAAGGCTTCCTCCAGAAGTTCATTGGAAACATACTGAGGAAGGTTTTGGACTGTAAGGGATGCACTATGGCAGGCAAAGAGCACACGCAGCTGCTTTCCATGGAGTGACATGTTGTCCAGTTCTACTTTGGCAATTTCCGCTAGGGTTCATGTTTCCAAGTGGATAAAGCCAAAGCCCTTAACCTTATGAATGAAGACTTCCCCTGCTTTCCCGTATTTCTCAAATAGTTTCCTCATCTCCTCCTCAGTGATGTCAGGAGGAAGATTGCCCACAGAGAGCCGGCTACGTTGGGTGAAGGTCTTCTTTCCTGGTTTCCTAAAATTCTTCAGGTCAATAGTCAAGCCTTCATTTTGGCTGCTGGCATGTTGCCCACTTGCAGGTATTGGTGGCGGTGGTGGCTGCTGTTGCTGCTAGAGGTGCTGCTGGTGGTGATGCCGATGATGCTTCCTTGGAGTATGGTTTTGCTTCTCCAAGTTAAAGGTTTTATTGTTCTGCATTTTTGCACCCCTCTACCGACTGTTCTCTCCTCAGAGTAACGGCAACACTATACAGCCTCTGCAGTCCCAAGAAAAAAATGTGTGTGGTACTTTATTAACTCTTTATTTAAAATCTATCAAGCAAAGTTGTGACTGAGGTTGTATATAGAGGAATTAATGTAGAAAGATCATTGCACAATTGATTTTAATGTACAAATATAACAAAATATTTTCTTAATGAGTGCCAATATATAAAAGTAAGCATCATATCACACACTCTTAGACTTTCAAGCAAAGAGCTTTCACTGCAAACCTTGAAACTCTGAAGTTTATGAAATATGTTAGAACACAGCTCTCTTCTGTGTTTAAGGTGTATGTGTTGTGTGTGAATCTCATGATACTTTTGAGATATTTGGGATAAGTCTGAATTGTTTGTTTACCCAGGGGGACAAAAGAAAATGCTGATAGATATTCCAAGTTATATGGATATTAATTCCCACTACTCCTATTAATATTAAAAACTCTTTCCTCTTTAGTCTATTTTACTCAAGTAGTATATATTTTCTAAATAAAGCTAGGATCATATTGTTCTCCTGTGCATTTTTGAATGATTGGACAATTCACCTATGTCCACTTATTTTCAATTTACTTTTTGTTTCTTGCAGGACAAAGTGAAAACATTGGACCCACTGCTGAGGAAGAGTTGTGCAATTTATTCTGTTGCTTATTACGTTCTGTAAAGAAAGATATTTTATTTTATGCTCCATAGAACAGTATGTTTCCATTTGGATAGAAAATACAGTCATGAATAATTCCTTCAGAGGGATCATTTTGAGGTTGAAAGGAAGGAGGCCATGTTTTGTTAAGGCACTCAAAATACAATTTTTTTTTTTAAGAAAAATCTTCAAGGTGACATAGCTAAACTGATAGAGAACATAGATTATTCTAGCTAGTAATTTGATTACAATGTCTTGGAATCATTCAAAATTTCAAGGGAGATAGTTTGAAGATCCTCCTTCCTGTGATGAATTTCTAAAGCACTGTCTTTGCATCTCACACATGACTGAAGAGCCAAACCACTGTGTTCCAAAAACCTATCACGGAATTCTGAGGTCATAAAATAATATACAATGGGATCAAGACAGCAATTCAGATTTGCAAGACATAGAGAAATGATGTGAAAACATACGGTGCTCTTAATAAAGGAACAGTTTGAAAAGACATGTTGTTTCACCATCATAAAGAATGGGAAGTTGAAGTGGTAAGGAGTGAAACACACAATGAACACCACTGCACACATCAGGACCATCCACAAAGCCTTTTTTCTCTCTTTGGTATTCTGAGGGGGAACTTGGAATTCTTGTAAAGATTTTCTTGTTTTCCATGTGCAATAAGTAATAATTACAACAGGTAAAAAAAACCCTCCAAGTTCAGCTACAGTTATCATGCCAATGGAGGAAGCCATGCTAATGTGTTGAAATCCTAAATCGGCAAAGCAGGATTCAGTGTTGTTGGTTAAGCCAGAACTTCTCAGAATTGGAAGTGGCAAACAGGCAGTCCCCACAATGATCCAGATGGCAGCACTGATGCCCACATCATACCTACGCTTCCAGTTTCTGGCCCTAAAGGGCTTGAGGAGAAAGTAACATCTCTGAAGGCTGATGCACGTCAGGAAATAAATGCTGGCATACATGTTGAGATACTTCAGGTAGAAGCACAGCAGGCAAAGGGCCTTCTGGAAGGGCCAGTGGTGGCTGATGTAATAGTAAATCCGGAGGGGTAAGGACAGCACGTGAGCAAGGTCAGCCACAGAGAGGTTGATCATGAAAATGATGGCTTTATTTTTCTTGCTGATGAAGCGGCACAGAACCCACAAGGCTACACTGTTGGCCAGAAGACCAGGGATGAATATGAGGATGTAAGTGGTTGCATAGAGAGAGTACTGAAATGACACTTGAAGATCAGTGCACTTTGTTCTTACACTGTTTGTGCTGTTACTTCCCATCTTGAGGATGTATGTTCCTTCCTTAAGGAAAGCATTAGAGTGATGATTTCTGCAGAAAATAGAGTAAAAATAGGGTCAAGGGCATGCCAGTTTATATTTGGGTATACAAATATATTTGTGTCCTGCCAAAAAAGTATTCAAGTATTCAAGTGTGAACTTTCACAAATTCAAAAGGTATTTTTTATGAAAACTAAACTGAAAATATCATGGCAATCTACAAATGTATAACAGCATTGTGGAGCATATTTTTAGAAATCAAGGCCTTAGTCTTGGTTTTCCCCTAAACTAAAACCTTAGTCAGGTTTTCCCCTTAGTAGTCAGAGGGAGTAATCAAACTTATAGAGATGGCCAACAAGCAAGACCTTACTGGAAAATTTACCCAGACATACATTCCAACACTTTTCTGGGTTTCTATATTTCAGTATTACAGTTGTCTCCATCTGCATTTTCAAAGTTTGAGATCTAGCTGAGTTTCCAATCATTAATGCTGGAAAAGACTAAAACTGAATCAATTTTAAATTGCAACCTTATCAGGGTTTAGGTGACTGCTGAGATGAGTCTGTGAACCTTTGGGAATGAAACACAAGATAAGGGCCTGGGAAGGGCTGGCAGGTCACCAGTCCTTGAAAGGATGGAAACTTGGAAAAAATGTTGCAATGCAGATAAACTTTAGCTCCTTCAGAATTTGGCTGAGGGCAAAGTTAGTCCTGCTTGTATGTCATGACACTTTTCTTGAAGATTCTGTAGCTTTAAAGATCTGTGTTTATTAACAGAATTATGTCAGCTTCAGACATTCACATTTATTGAGACTATCCTTGCTACCATTTCAAACAACTACCAGAGTATGTGAAAAACTAGAAGGTATCTAGTGGTAGTTACAGCAAAAAGAGCTATCTCTAATTCAGATCTTGAGGCAAGTTGAGTGAAAAGTTATTAATTTTGAATTGTTACATTTTTAACAATCATAATTGTTAAAGAGTTCTTCCTTCTAGTGAGTTATCTGTATCCCTGTCATTTTAACCTAGTTCTGCCTATCAATGTCAAGTAAAGTTTACCCCCTGTTGCACATGAAACTCTTTAAATATCTGAAGACAGCAATCCTGTCTCTTCCTTTATCCAGGTTCACCCCTAAATTCACCCCTAAAATGCAGAGTCCCACTTCTTGGTTTTCTTTTGGATCAGATCATTATTGCTTTTGGCCCAAAACCACTATAAAACAGCTTATTTTAACCTTTGAAAATGACAGTTTACTCAAACATTTGATATTCTCGGGAAATATAGCATGCCTTTGATTGTAGAAACAAAAGGCTAAATAGAATTTTAATATTCCCTTGTACTTTTTATTGCTTGCAAAGGCAGTTAGTTTGTTTCACATTTTATGGAATTAAAGGGAAATTGAGACACACTTAACATTAACTATTGAAAGCAATATAAAGTCTAAGACAGTGCTTATTCAACCCAAAATACAACTAATTGAAATTGTAAAAACTCAGTCAACACACACACAGCCTATACAGTGCCAAATCATCTATTTGATGCCTTTAGACTGACTACATGGTGCTTTCAGATAGACTGTATTTACTGAAAGTTCATTGCAGTCAACCAGCTCACTCAAGTAAACAACTACTTTGAATGTTATTTTCCACAGAGTTGACTATTTTGCTAAATCAGCCAGTTAGTCTAGCAAACTGTAAATTGAGCCAACACTATCTGTTTTTGTGGTCTGTTTGTTTCCCCACTGAACTAACTAAAATAATTGATCTTGTATTCTGTGTACTCAGTTTAAATAAAAAGCCATGTAAACGTGAACCAGGATTATCCTTTTTTTTTAAAACCAGAATTATTCTTGAAATAAAATTTAGAAAATAGTTAACATACATGAAGTTTTCCCTGATCATCTTTGGTTTTGTTATAATAATAATTAAAAATCACTGAATGCCTACTTGGATGAGGTGTTATGCTAAGTACTTTGTATACACTCTCTCAATCTGTCCCTCACAGCAATCTTATGCAACAATATAACATTACCACTGTTTTACAGCTGAGGAAACTGAGGTCCCAAGAAAGACAAGCTTCACCTCCTACAAGAAGACTTTCTTGACCTCTCCAAACCAGAAGTCACTTCTATGGCCTCACAGTCCATAGTTCTGATCATTTTTCTAGTGAGAATGCATTTAATACACTTAACAACGTGCTGTGGTTATTACCTTTGCATGGAGTCTCTTTTGTTCCTCTAAATAGATTGCAATCTCTTACATATCAAAGACTCATTCTCTCACTACTTTCTTTCCTCCATAATAAAGTGTCTCCTAAAATGTTTTGAACATATTAGGGATCCACTAAGTGTTTGTTAAGTGAATGACTTGAATGCATGATGAGTGGATAAATAGGGGGAGTGGGGGGAGTCGCACTGACAGAAAGGGAGTGTCTGGGGAATTAGAATTTAGATGTGATATTTAATTTGACCACCAGGTGTCATAAGTATACCAATGTTCAAATATTTTTAAATATTTAACACATTTCTTTTAAAATTCCATTAAGGGAGAAGTTATACTAAAGGAGAGAAGTATCAACAACATCTTGTGTAACATCAGAAGAAGAATCCTTTAAAGGGCATTTTACAGAGTTTTAATTTATTTTATTTTTTTAGCTTCCATACTTCCTCATTTAGATCTCTGAAAATAGTTGGGCTTCTAAATTCATTAGAAATCCCTAGAATATTAGAGCAGTTAAGGACCATCAAGATCTCCTGATCATGACACTTCTTATAGATGAGGCTACCAAGGCCAAAAACAAGGAGATTAAATTTTCCACATTCACAGGATCTTCTTGCCTTCCACTACGGAGTAATATTTACTTTTCCAGGAACTTCTAAGATGAAACCCATATTTTTGTAATTACCTAATAATAATACAAACTTTTAGAAATAAACTAATGCCAGATTTTAGAACAGTAACCTTGACAGTGGACTATTAAAGCAAGAGTGATTAGGTTTTTTTCCCAAATATTCTAGGACAAATACGGTGTTTTTAAAAAGCAGAATTAATATTTTTTTGTCCCTAATAATAAGATTGTGTAAAAAATCTGCTTAACAGGGGTGCCTGGGTGGCTCAGTTGATTAAGTGTTGGATTCTTGGTTTTGGCTCAGGTCATGATACCAGCGTCTTGAGATTGAGCCCATGCTGGGATCCATGTTCAGCTCCCAGAATCTACTTGAGATTCTTTTCCTCTCTTCACCTCCCCGTGCTCTCACTCTCTTTCTTTCTCTCGCTCTCTTTCAAATAAATAAGTAAATCTTTCTAAAAATTTGCTTAACAGTCTTAGATTAGGTTGTTTTTAACCTTTTGTTATTTCTTTATATAAGGAATACAGTTTCACATTAGAAAATAGAGATAAAGAAAAACAAAATATATACACATCTATCATTAATATTTCCATTGCTAACATTTTGGTGTATAACCTACATTTTCCCCCATGCCTATAGACCTATAAATGAATACATGTATAGATATTTTAACCAAATTTGACTCATATACACATACTCTTTTATAATTATAGTTTGTATTCAATCATAATTATTATGAATATAGTATCATTAATAAATAGACATTAGCAATCATTTTATTAATCAATTTATTGATAAATAATCATGTTAATGGGTACTTAGAATTTCATCAGAATTATATACCATAATTTATTTTACTAGTGGACATTGAGGTAGATTCTCATTTTTCACTATTAGAAACAATGCCTTGTGAAACATTCTTGTACACCCATCTTCATACATTTGAGCAACTATTTTCTTTGAATAAATTTTTAAAAGTGGAATTGCTAGGCTTTTGATCTATAATACCAAATTATCCTCCAAGAAGACATCCTAAGCTAATTCTCTTTCAAATTCCAATGCTAATACTTTCTCATAATATCACAATGCCAAATCTGTTTGTTTTCCAAATATATCAAATTCTTTTCAGCTGAAGGAAGACTTATGGTGTACAGAATTTTGACTCATTCTTTAAGGCCTAACTCAGTAATTACTTTACTTAGTCACAAATCAACCCAGACAGAATTTATTATTCCCACCTTAACAAAGTGGTTTTCAAACTTGAGCATGCCTCAGAATCATCTGGAGTGCTGTCCCACCCATGGTTTCTGATTTAGTAAGTCTGGGTTAGGGCCCAATAATTTACATTTCTAATAAGTTCCCATGAGATCCAGGGACTATATTGTCCTGTATACCAGCAAGGATTGTGTTTTATCTGAGAAACCAGTATATTATCGCCACACAAATATTGTGAATCATTTAATTAATGCTGTTGGCTGAATGTAGAATGTTTATTGCACCCTAGAGTCATATGTTGAAACCTAATCCTAAACGTGATGGTGTTTGGAGTGGAGCCTTTGGGAAGTAATTAGGTCTTTAAGGGATTAGTGGTCTTATAAAAGAGGCCCCAGGGAAATCCCTTGCCCCTTCTGCCAGTGAGAAGATGGCCATCTATAAGCCAGAAAGTGGACTTTCAACAGACACCAAATCTGACATCCTGATCTTGGACTTCCTAACCTCCAGAACTCTGAAAACTAAGTATTGTTTAAGATACCCAATCTGTAGTCTTTTAGTTATAACAGCACAAATAGACCAAGATAGTCAGACATTCTTTTCCAACCTGAAGGAGGAAACTCATGGACAAGTTTGTGACCTAACTTTCATAACTGTGTAGTAAAATCTGGCTTATTTATCTACATCCAATTATTTCTCCTATCTTGACTGTGTGGGGAAAAAAAGTGATAGTAAAACAAAACAGAAACAATGACAAAAATATTGCATTATGCTTAGGTTTTAGAAAACAAACAGGATTCTTATGTTAAAAAAAAAAAAAAAAAACTTCTAGGGGTGCCTGGGTCAGGCTCAGTCAGTTAAGAGTCTGACTCTTGATTTTGGCTCAGGTCATGATCTCAGGGTCCTTAGATAGAGCCCCACACCCGGCTCTGTGCCGGGTATG